CCTTATCGCGACCCCGGCCTCTCGCGGCCGTAGGCGGTGGTACTGGTGATTGTCCGCCCTATCCGGTAGCACGTGTCCTTACCATCTGTGAGAGAATAGAATAACAAAATTTTAGCTCCCGGAATCAACAAATTCGCATGACAAGAATACAAGAATGTGAAGTTTCCTAAAGGTTCGACAGCCTCTCGAAGATAAGTACAGACGTCTCTGTACCAATCTACAAGACTCTGCTAAACCTGCTCATGACTCGTGAGATCTATGTAAGCTAGGCTCTGATACCAACTTGTAACGATCCAAAACACAACCTGTCATGATGGCTCTATCATGGTACTACGCAAGCCGACATCTCATAATTTACCAACACTTTCAAATTTAAAGTATGCTAAAATAGGTTTTAATAAATAAAACTCTCATAAAGCTGGATAAAAGTCATAACTCAATACAGAAATTCCCAAAACCAGTGTGTCACTGAGTACATGAGCATCTATACAACACAAGTCTAAAATATTGTCTAAGAAAAACTGAAACTGAATAAATAAAGCTGAAGGATAGGGGAGGAGAGTCAAGGTCTGCGGATGCTAGGGCAGCTACCTTGAAATCTCTGAATGACTAAGCTACTCTGATAGTCAACACCCACCGTGTCCGGAAACACCTGGATCTGCACACAAAGTGTATGGTGTGTCGCGTGAGTACAACCAACTCAGTAAGTAACAAGTCTAACTATTAGGCTAAAAGTAGTGACGAGCTTTGCAGATACAGTTTAATTTCAGAATTTCAGTACGCAAATGTAAGCATGCTTTCAAGTTTAACAGTTAAAGCCCAAAATAGGTAAATCACGACAAGTTCAATTGCAACAAGATATGGTGCATCTTGGTATCTACATGATTATAAATGCCAACTGAAGTACAAAATAGTAATGAAATCATATGCATACTCTCAATGTATCAGTCACTCAATCCTCCCATTCATTCCATCCTCACAGCCACTCATTCCTTACAACCAATCAATCTTCCCAATCACTTGTCACTCTCACTCGCACTCAGTAGGTACCTGCGCTCATTGTGGATGTACAGACTTTGGAGGGGCGATTCCAGCCCAAGCTCTATAATAAGCCAATCATGGCATGAATCAAATAAACATGTTGCGGCATACAGCCCGATCCCATAAGTATCCTCACAATCAGGCCATCGGCCTCACTCGGTCATCAATCTCTCTAGTCTATTGGACTCACAAAAATCATGATAATTAGCCCAAACAATGATGATATAATATATCAATAAAGGACAATAGAGACGGAGATATAATATGCAATTAATAGCTGTGACTGAGTACACAATGACAAATTAAGCAAATAATTTAAGTCCCAACAATACCAACATGTAGTCCAAGTAGGATTTCTAACATGACTGGCAGCTAAATTCCTCTAACACATGGTGAAAATACGGATAACGGCAAGATTAATCAACTATACAGTTCCACGGAATCGACCAAATCACAATTCTTATGGTGAACACCCACACGCCCATCAACTAGCGTGTGTGTCACCTCACCACCAATCACATAATACGTAATTCGAGGTTTCATACCCTCAGAACCAAGTTTAGAAGTGTTACTTACCTCAACTGTGCAAATCTCTACTCCAACACGCCCTTGTCTCGTGAATCGGCCTCCAAATGCTTCGAATCTAGCTACAAACAATTCGATACAATCAACACGAGCTAAAAGAATCAATTCAATAAGAAAATACTAAGTTCTTAGTCAAAAGTCAACTAAAAGTCGACCCCCGACCCATGTCTCGAAATCCAATAAAAGTTACAAAATTCGGAAGCACATTCAACCACGAGTTCAATCATACCAAATTTAACAAAATTCGACACCACATCGTCACTCAAATCCTTAAATTAAACTCTCCAAATCCCTAGCCTCAAACTCCCAAAATTACACCTCAAAAATTTTAAAAATAAAATAGGTGAGAAATTCAATGGGGAGAGGAAATTATTGAATAACAATTACCATAAGCGACTTACCTCAAGAAACACCTCGAAAATCCTCTCAAAATTGCCTTAGCCCGAGCTTGAAATGTCCAAAATGATTAAAATCACGAAACCTTTGAGTTTTAAACTCTGCCCATGCATTTCCGCACCTGCGGAGCCTGGGCTCGCACCTGCGCATCTATTTTTTCGGAGAAATTCGCGCTTCTGCGAAACCCACTTAACATGCGACCTCTCGCACCTGCGATCCCAACCTCGCACCTGCGGGACCGCATCTGCAAACCTCCCTTCAATTCTGCGACGCCCCTACTTCCTATCCAAATCCGCTTCTGCGGTCGACCACGCACAGATGCGCATCCACATCTGCGGAACCTCCTCCATAGACCTTACTCCTCTTCACAGCTGCGCAAGCTTAGCCGTTTCTGTGGCTCCGCGCCCGCAGCCAATCCCACCGCAGGTGCGATGACACTAGACCTGAAGCACCGGCATAACACTTAAGCCAAATTTTAATCCGTTAAACCATCTGAAGCCCCCGAGACCTCAACCAAACATTCCAAAAAGTCCTAAAACATGAGATGAACTTAGCTGAGCCTTCAAACCACATCACACAATACTAAAACCACGAATCGCGCATCGATTCAAGCCTAATGAACTTCTAACTTCTACATTCGATGTCGAAACCTATCAAATCACATTCAATTGACCTAAAATTTTGAACATAAGTAACAAATGACACAACGGACCTACTGCAACTCCCAGAACCCCAATACGAGCCCAGTAACCACAAAGTCAACTATCGGTCAAACTTCTAAATTTTCAACTTTGTCATTTCAAGCCTAATTCAACTACAGACATCCAAATTACTATCCGGACACACTCCTTAGTACAAAATCATCTAACGGAGCTAACAAACCCGTCAAAACTCCATTCCGGAGCCGTTTACACATTAGTCAATATTCGATCAACCTTTTCAAACTTAATCTTCCAACCTGGAGACTAAGTGGGTGTTTGGACATAAGATATGTAAAATTCCAAAAAAAAAAGTGAAACAAATTTTCAAGTGAATATGGTACTTAAAAATTAGAGTTGTGTTTGGACATGAATATAATTTTGGGTTGTTTTTGAAGTTTTGTGAGTGATCTGAGTAAAAATTTTAAAAAATAGCTTTTGGAGTTTTTCAAATTATCAAAAAATTCCAAAATGCATCTTCAAGTGAAATTAGAAATTTTATGACTAAACGCTGATTTCGAAAAAAAATGAAGAATTTTCGAAAAAAGTAAAAATCTCTTATGTCCAAATGAGCCTAAGTGTCTCAACATCATTTCAAAACCTCCCTAAAACCGAACTAACTACCCCGTCAAGTCATATAGCAACTATTAAGCATAAAATGAGCAGTAAATGGGAGAACGGGGCTACAACTTTCAAAACGACCAACCGGATCGTTACAACATTTTTGTTTACATTGGTAATAAATGAATTGACACGACATATTTAAGGCGAGGTACTATGATATATGTTATTTGCAGAAGACATAGTGTTGATTGACGAGACACGTGATGGAGTTAACGATAAACTGGAGGTTTGAAGACAGACACTAGAATCTAAAGGTTTTCAGTTGAGCATGAGTAAAATAAAATACATATACTGCAAGTTTAGTAACGTATCACATGAGGCGGATATGAAAGTGAGGATTAGTACACAAGTGGTTCGGAAGAGAGGATGATTCAAGTATTTTGGATCAATAATCCAAGAAAATGGGGAGGCCGACACTGATGTCGCATATCGTATTGGAGCAAGGTGGATGAAATAAAGGCATGTATCTGATGTATTACATGATAAAAATGTATCACTAAGACTTAAAGGTTTAGTTTTATAGAGTAGTTGTTAGACCAACTTTATTGTATGGGGCAAAATATTGGCCAGTCAAGAACTCACACCTTCAGAAGATGTCAGTAGCGGGTGGAGATGCTTATATGAATATGTGGGCATACTGGGAGAGATAAGATTAGGAACGAATATATACGGGGCAAGATTGTTGTGGCCTTCATGATGGACAAGATATGGAAAGCGAGGCTGAGATAGTTCAGGCATGTGAAGAGGAAGATCACATATGCCCCAGTGAGGAGGTGCGAGAAGTTAGCAGTGATAGGTCTAAGGAGAGACTGAGGTAAACCAAAGAAGAATTGGGGAGAAGTGATTAGGCATAACATGACACATCTTCGGCTCATCGAAGACATGACTCTAGATAGGAGAGCATGGATGCCGAGGATTAGGCTAGAAGATTAGTAGGTAATCAGCGATTCCTTGCATTTTGTGGGAGAGCATGTATCTAGTTTAGATCACCTTATATACTCCATGTTCTCCTTGTATCTTATTATTACTACTGCTACTACTACTATTGTTATTATATAATTTCGTTACTCTTGTTATTTCTTTTATTTTGGTTATCTTTACTATTTTGCTATCAATACTTTTTTTTCTTCAGTATTTTCATTATTGTTGTATTTCTCAAACCTATTCTGAAAATACTTTTCTTGAGCCAAGGATCTATCGGAAACAACCTTTCTACCACACAAAAAGGTTGGGGGTAAGATTTGCATACACCTCAAACCTTACCCTCTCAAGACCCTGCTTGTGGAATTACACTGGGTATGTTATAGTTTACTTCATCCAAACCAACTGTATTAAAGGAAGCACAAGTGATGTGTTAAAGCACAACCCCAGCGAGGAAAAATTAAGTCAAGTTTTAAGCTTGAAAGTAATGAATAAATTGCGCTGAATTCGAATATTTTCTAATATTATGAAGACCTTGGTTCCTCTCTTCAGAAAATTGCTTCTACATTTTGAAGTTGCAATGCACCACATACTGAAGGTTTTGATACGTTTCTCTTCCAAACATTCCAGTTCATAAAAATTCATCTTCTGTTCTTGACATCCAAACTAAAGGCACTACTTCTAATGAACATCAAAATCTTCATGCTTAAAATATCAAGTAATATTTCTAGCTCAAAAGAATCAAATATCCAATAGATATTTATTTCAAATAATCTTACAGCAGATCCCTTTCATTCCAACTCCAACTTCATACCAGAGAGAAATGTGGATCAATTGGGCAGAAGCAATCTGTGAGAAAAATAAAAGATGGTCTAAATGTTTACAACATAGAATTATAATGATGAGATAGGACAATTTGGGAATAAAAGAATTATGTTAAGCTAAACAAACCCCATGGATTTGCAATTATAAATCATGTAGCAGGGAGAAGAGGATCCATTCCGAATCCGTTAATGCCAAAGCTTCAGGCAAAAGCCTCCAGGAACTACAGAGGATCTCTTGCTTGAAATAACATCAGAGAAAGTATCCACCAGCTGCCCAGCAAGTGATGCTGGATCTTCGATAAGGTTATCAACGAATGCCTTTACAATCCTAACATCTTGTGGTGTAGCTCTTAAGCTATACCAGGTTAAGAACTTCTGCCTGAATGTCTTATCAATATGTTCACCACATTCTAACCATCTAACTACTTTGACGTAATACTCGAAATCTTTATCTCCAGTTCCAGTACAATCTTCTTGCCATTCTCCAACTCTCTTCTTCGAAGAGCTGCCAACTTGTGGTCCATCCTCCTTCCCTGATCCATTATCAAGATTTTTGCTGCAATGTTCCGATTTCCCTTTCCGGCCAAGGCTGCCCTTCACATTCTCCAATTTGCAGGGTGTAATAGGCAAGTCAGCTTCCACACTACTGACAATTGGTGTAAATTCCAAGGCAGTCTGCGGAGGTGCATTTGACCCATTATCGGTGCTTGTCTCATCTGTTGTTTGAACATCTGAACACTGCTTGTTCTCAAGATTTACAGCATCAGTATTTGGCAAGGAGCTTATTTTCACCATGCTATCTTCCTCATCGCCGAAGGATACCATTTCTCCTGCATTTCCTGTTTGACTTTTACCAGTAAAGGCGACTGTGGTGCAACACATGTCCGCAGAAATTGTTTTATCAGTGTTGTCACGACAAGAAAGACAATTATCCC